TGCCAAGAAGATATAAAAGAAGATTTCATGCAGAGGCTGGTGTGTGTATGGAATGAGCTACCAGAGGACGTGTTAGAGGCTGGTACAATTACAACATTTAAAAGGCATCTGGATCTGTATATGAATAGGAAGGGTTTAAAGGGATATGGGTCAAATGCTGGCAATTGGGACTAGATTTATTTAGGATAGCTGGTTGGCACAGACGAGTTGGACCAAAGGTTTTGTTTCCATGCTGTATCTTTCTCTGGCTCTATGTCTATTGAAAACCTGTAAAGTAAACAGCTTGTGAGGCCTTGCGTTTTTTTTAAAAGTTGCACCAATACAAACAGCTGGAATGGTGTGGTCAAGCTCCCACAGAACCAAGATTTTTAGTTGTATCAGAGATAGTAGGAACTGCAGATGCTGGAAAATCTGAGATAACAAGGTGTAGAGCTGGATGAACACAGCAGGCCAAGCAGCATCGTAGGAGCAGGAAGGCTGACGTTTCGGGCCTAGACCCTTGGGATTTTTAGTTTCTGAGTTTTTCGGTAGCAGCTGTTGCTGTGTCTGTCGCTGCAGTACATCTCCCTCTGCTGCACTCTCTCAGAGTTCTCTTGATGTTATTTGCCTGCTAGGTTGCTGGAGTTGCGTATGAGACCATCTGTTTTCTGAATTTGCCTTTTGCCAAGGGTGTGTTTATGGGATGTTACTATATTGGAACAGTTACTATTTAGTAGCTAAATAATCTATTATTCTGTTAAGCTTTCCAATAAAGTTACAGCTAAGCCAAATTTTTCTTTATTCTTTCTTTTGTTGTATTTTAACTAGATTATCTGAATAAAGCATGTTTTGCTTCAAACCTGGTAGTCTGACCAATAGAATTGCATCTGGAATGCAGCACCTTACAGTTACCTTTAAAATAAGAAATAGTTAGGGTCTAGGCTACCTTCTTAATATATTTTGAGGGGGTTTGGTCTGGTCCATAACAGGGAGATATACTTACTCAGCTCTGCCATTGTCAATCGTGAGCCCGAGGGTATTAATGGGAGAACAAGATGTGTTTGCGAGTACTGGTGCATGACATTCTAGTTCAAATGAGAATGCCAGATTGGCAAAGGAAGAATTATTTGCTGCAAAACCAACTGAAAGATCAAAGCCAGAGGATGTCACATAAATTTCAAGGATGTAGTGAGCATCCAGTGATAGTTGCTGGTGGAGCATGAAGTGGTCCATTGACTTGCAGAAGTGTATTGTAAGTGGATCGGAGATGGTTTCTATTTGTCTGCATTACAAAAAAATCCTTAAAAATCCAAGTCTGTCAAATAGGATTTTCTTGTCATAAGTCCATGTTGATTTTGCCCAATTTTGTCAACCAATTCTGATATTTTCCCTACTACTGATATCAAGTTAACAGGTCTGTAGTTCTCCACTCTCCCTCTTCCTCTCTTAAAGAGTTGTGTCATGAGGGTTCTTACAGGCTGGCACATATTGGATGTGGCCTGTGCCCACGGAGTGTGCCTTGAGATGTCAGTGCCCAGTGTCCAACATGGAGGTCCTTTGGAGCATGCAGTGAGCTGAAGTCGCCAGATACGTGCACTGACCTCCATGTCAAGAATTCTCAATGTCTAGCTTGTTTCGTAGTTTTGGTTAAATGGTAGACTGACAATTAATGAGGTGGATTGTGGCTTTAATAAGGCATTTAACAAGTTATAATCCCCCTTCATCAGCAACTTGCCACTGTCTGGTAAGAAACATGTCTTGACACCAAACAGATGAAAAGAAGGGTCTAGACCGGAAACGTCAGCCTTCCTGCTCCTCCGATGCTGCTTGGCCTTCTGTGTTCATCCAGCTCTACACCTTGTTATCTCAGATGAAAAGAAAGTGCACTGAGGTATGTTTGATGTCCATTCAGACCTCATTGGACCTCACACAATTCTGTCACAAACCTCACTACAGCCCACATTGCTCAGGCCTCTGTAAGATTCTGTCCCGTTTTCCCTCCAATGATATTGTCCTTCTATATTCCCTCAAGATTATCCATGGTCTACCATTTTGTGTTAACCTTTGGTTGCCTCCTGTCTCTCTCTTGACTCACCTCTTACATTGACCAGTGTCCAACATGGAGGTCCTTTGGAGCATGCAGTGAGCTAAAGTCGCCAGTTACTTACACTGACCTCCATGTCAAGAATTCTTAATGTCTAGCTTGTTTTGTAGTTTCGGTTAAATGGCAGACTGACAGTTAATGAGGTGGATTATAGTTCACTCCGTCTCTTACCTACATCCTACTTACTCCTCCCCACTCCTTTACTCCTCCCTCCTCTCACTCTCCTTACCTCCTGTACCCCCATCTCTCTCTCTCCGCACACTTTTCTCTCTCCCTCTATTCTCACTCGCTCACTCTTCCTGCCCTTCCCTATCTCTACCTTCTCCCTCTTCAACTCATTTCAATCACAGATTAATTACCCTTTGTTTTACTGACTCTTGCAGCTTCAAAATTTCTCCCTTCCTGTTCCCAGGCCTTGCTGAAAAGAAGGCTAATTTAGTCGAAGATTTTCATCTTGTACTCATCAATTCAATTCAAGGAGAAAACCAGCATTAATACTGCTTGAGAGGAGAGTGCTGATTGGGCTTTGCCTGGTCAAGGCATTGCCTTGAAACTGCACCCATTAAATGCTGATTGACAGTTAACAGCCAAGCTTTGTTTAAAATGTAAATGAGACCACTTCATGCAGGCAGAAAGAACATGTATACATACTACACTTGTTTCAAGTCAATAAAGTAGGTCACAGCCATTCAATTGTTTATTTCTCAGAGCAATGCCCTAACCAGTCAGAGCCAACTATCCAGTTTCATAGAATTCCTACAGTGTGGAAGCAGGCCATTCAGCCCATCAAGTCCACACCAACCTTTGAAGAGCATCCCACCCAGGCCCACCTCTCTGCCCTATCCCCGTAACCCTACATTTCCTATGGCTAATCCACCCAGCCTGCACATTCCTGTACATGATGGGCAATTTTAGCATAGCCAATCCACCTAACCTGTACATCTTTGGACTGTGGGAGGAAACCCATGCAGACACAGGGAGAATGTACAAACTCCACACAGATAGTCGCCAAGGGTGGGATTGACCCCAAGTCCCTAGCACTGTGAGGCAGCAGTGCTAACCACTGAGTCACCATGCTGCACCATGCTAAAATGTAATCAAAGCCTGGCTGTTAACTGTCAATCAGCGTTAATGGTTATACTCTCCATGACAAATCTTTACCAATCAGACACCACTTACTAACCAATCAGCATTCTCATCTCATGCAGTGTGGATGTTGGCTTTCCCACCAATACAAAAGCTCTGCACTATCAAACAAATATTAATTTCCAATAACTGCCATATGAACGATGAATAATGCAGAAGGCATGAGTTCCGGTATCATGGGGGCAATCTGAACATTTCGGAACATAGGAACAGGATTGGGCCATTCAGCCCATCAAACGTGGTCTAATGTTCAATGGGATCATGGCTGATTTGTGGCCTAACTCCATATCCTGCCTTTAAGCCATATCCCTTAATACTTTTGCTTAACAAATACTTATCTATCTCACATTTAAAACTAACAACGGATTCAGCATCCACTGCCATTAATGGAAAAGAGTTCCAAACATCTACCAGCTCTTGTGTGTCAAAGTGCTTCCTAACATCTCTCCTGAACGGGTCCAGCCCTAATTCTTAGATTATGCCACCTAAATCTAGAATCCCCAGCCAGTGGAAATAATTTATCTTTATCTATACTGTCTTTTCCTGCTAATATCTTGAAGACTTTGGTCAGATCACCCCTTCTCCTTCTAAAAACTTGAGAAAATAGGCCTAATTTGTATAATTTCTGCCCATAACCTAAACCCCTGAAGCCCTGGCATCATTCTGTAAACCTACATTGTATTCACCCAAGGCCAATATATCGTTTCAAAGTGTGGTGCCCAAATCTGCTCACAATATTTCATGTGGGGTCTAACAAGGGTTTTGTATAACTGCAGCATAACTTCTGCATCTTTGTATACCAGTCCTCTAGATAAAAAGGCCAGCATTACATTATCTTTCTTCATTATTTTCTCTACCTGTTCATGACATTTTAAAGATCTATGCACCTGAAATGCTCAAATCACTTTAGACATCCACTGTACTTTGTAGTTTGAGTTTAGTTTATAAAATCTGGGCTTAAATACATCGTACCTGTAAAAGCAATTACAAATTTGTCAGAGATAGTAGGAACTGCCGATGCTGGGGTCTGAGATAACAAGGTGTGGATGAACACAGCAGGCCAGGCAGCATCAGAGGAGCAGGAAAGCTGACGTTTCGGGTCTGGACCTTTCTTCATAAAAAAATTTGTCAGGCCGTTATAAAATCAAACTTGTTCACTCATGTCCCACAAGGGAACAGACCTGTTGTCTACGCGACTCCAGTCCCAGACACCTTGGCTGTTCAAAATCCAGCGGACTAGCAAGCTGCTAAATCACATCAAATTGCTTGCCTTACAGAAAGCTGGGATGGGTCATAAATGCCAGGCATGCCAGCTGCTCATGGTCATTGCTGATACACTCCCTTGGCATCACATTTGATTCAGTTATCAAGGACGGTGATAGGATTCACAGCTCTTTGACCACAATGGCAGGAGACTAAAATACCACACATTTCAAAAGCCCAGCGCAGAAAATGTGACTGTGCTTTTCTAGAATATTCTGATAAACCTGTCCTGTGTGTAACATTAAGCATCCTTGCCTTATTGCTCTGTGCTCAGTGCATCTCTCTCTCAAACAAAGCCCTGATACTGACAGTGAGGTCCTGGTCCATTGATACGTGTAACCATAGTAACAACAAACCAGATTGATCTAATCCGCCATATAGAACAGTGTCGCCTTGCAATTTCAGGACAGCTATTTAACACCACAGCTAGAGAGATGAATGCAAGCAGACAACAAGAGGTGTAGTCTGATTCGAGAGTAAGTGGTTATTTTTCACAATGCAGACTCACCTCTGGAAACGCAGCAACCCATAATAAGCAGTGAAGGCAGGAGCACGGGCTATCCTCTGCTATCTTTAAAAAAATGCAACATGTCGGGGTGTTTTTTTTTCGGATTGTACGGTCTTGCCCAGAGTACCTGAACACAATGCTTGCTGAGGCAGCTGGTTTTGACGTCGATGGTATCAATCTCAGAGGGCCATCTCTGCACTCCTGAGCTGAAACGAAACCAGAGAAACACACAGCCACAAACATACAGGGACAGGAACACCAAGCTGTCACTCTTGCTGCATCTAGACATTAACCCCTTCACCACCAGGCTCTTGGTTGGATCTAGCTCTTGTTTGTATTGACTATCATCCTCATCGATTCATAAACCAACCTGTTGCAACACCTTTTTCAGCGGTCAGATTGGTTGGGTCAGCAGGATGATAATGGCACAATCCTAACAAAACAACCATCAATTCAATAATTGCCTTTGAAAAGTGCCCCCTTGCTCCTCAAAAAAAGATGTGACGTACAGCTACTGAACTAGAAGCCGAAGGAAAATCTTCCATCACATCCTGGGGATGGAATGCCTTAGAAAGAGTCTGTCCACCTTCTCTTACCAGTCAACAGCATTACCATCAGGAATCCGTGACCATTAGTATCTTGGGGTCACCACTGATCAATCGAGTAAATCCTATGGCTGCAAAAGCAGGTCAGAAACTGGGATTTTGCAGCAAATAGCTCACCTTATAAATCCTTGAGATCTCTCTGCCATTGACAAGCAGCAATCGGCTAATAAATACTGGTCTTGCTATTGATGCCCGCAACTTGTGTGAACAAATAAAACAAAATTGCATTTCTCTAGCACTTTTCACAAGCTCAGGATGGCCCATCATGTTTTTGTAGCCAATGAAATACTTTAGAAAGGTAGTCTGCTGTTGTAATGTAGGAAACATGGCAGTCAATTGGAGCACAGCAACCCCCCGCCAAAACAGCAACATGTTCATGACTAAAATGACCTGGTTTTGTTAAAAGGGTTTTCTCTCTGAACAGAGCAGCACAGGACGGCTTTTGGAATTCAATTGGTGGATTGGAGCTGATGCACACCTTGGTCAAGAAAATGAGCCAAGACCCTGAGCTTCAGGAACAATAGAATTTCCACTTACATTGTGCCCGTCATAACCCCAAACCATTTGTAATTACAGCCAATCAAATATTTGAATTCAGTTGACTTTGTGACTGTGCAGAAACATGACATTTTGTGTTCAACAAGATCCCGCAAATAGAGATTGGATAATTCATCGCACAATCTGCTGATTTTATTTTTAGCAATGTTGGTTGAGGGATCGGTTTGGGCCAGGTGAACTCTGCTGGCATTCACGGAGCAATGGCATGGGGTCTTTGACTGAAACAGCCAAAGAATTAACTGGGCATAATTTCTCACCTGGAGTCACTGGAATCTATATTGGCACCTGCCCAGACCTGTGGCTGAGGTTACATCCCTGCATTACTAACCTGAGCCACATGCAAATTGCTGTATAGTAAATAAGATTAGGGAAACGATTGCGTGGTTCAACTTCTGATGCGGTAGAAGTGGCTTCCAGTTTGTGTGGCATTGGCAGCAGTAATGGGGAAAGTGGACTGTACTGTTGGGATGTTCTAGACCCAAACTCTAGAACTCAAACTAGCAAACCACTTAACTTCAGAAGTATCGTACAAGTGGGAGTGCAAGACTAGGAATAGCATCTTAAATAAGAGTGATTGCAAGCGCACAAAAGCAGAGCTAGCTAAAGTCAACTAGCAAATTTGGTTAAAGGATAAGTCAATAAAGATGCAGTGGCAGAGATTTAAAGGGATAGTACAGGATAGGTGCACTCCAGTGAGCAAGAACAATCCCAAGGGGAGGAGAAAATATCTGCAGTTAACTTGAAAAGGTAAAGAAAATATTAAATTGACAGGAAAAGCATTTAATTGCACAAAGTTAGCTGGCATTTCTGAAGATTAGACAGAATGTTTAAAAAAAAGCAAAGAATGACAAAAAGATTAACAAAGGTGGGAAAATTAGAGTAGAAGAGTAAGTTAGCTAGAAATGTTAAAAACAGATAATAATAGTTTTTATAAGTGTTCACAAAAGGAAAGAGTTAACAAAACGAGCATTGGCAGCATGGAAAGTGAGTCTGGGAATTAATAATGGAAAATAAGGAGATGGCAGGTGAATTGAGTAAGTATTTTTCATCAGTCTTCACTATGAAGAATGCATTTAACATCCTAGAAATAGCAGTAAGCCAGAAACTGCAAGGAAAAGAGCGACTCAAGGGAGTTACAATCAAATTTAAAAATATGGAAGTGATACTGAGCAAATTATTGGAGCTGTGAAGTGACAAAAAATCCCCAGGTCCTAATGGACTTCATCCTATGGGGATAAAAGAAGTTGCTAGTGAGATATTTGATGTTGGTTTTTATTTTGCAAATTTCTCGAGATTTGCGGAAGGTCCCATTAGATTGGAAAATATTGAACGTAGCTTCTTTATTCAAAAAGTTGAGACAGAATTTTGCTGACTACACGCCAGTTAGTCTGTCATAGAGGAAATGTTAGAATTTATGATTAAAGACATTGTAGTAGGGCGCTTTAAAAAGTCAATATAGTCAGGTAGAATCAACAAAATTTTGTGAAAGAGAAGAGATAGTAGGAACTGCCGATGCTGGAGAATCTGAGATAACAAGGTGTAGAGCTGGATGAACACAGCAGGCCAAGCAGCATCAGAGGAGCAGGAAAGCTGATGTTTCGGGTCTG